TGTAATCCTATCTCCTTTGCCTCCAGAATATTATATTCCATGCCCTGTGGTCCTTTAATGTAGAAGCTGCTAAATCTTGTGTTATCCTGATTGTGTTTCCACAGTACTTGAATTGTTTCCTTCTGGCAGCTTGTAATATTTTCTCCTTGACCTGGGAACTCTGGAATTTGGCTACAATATTCCTAGGAGTTTTCCTTTGGGGATCTCTTTCAGGAGGAGATCTGTGGATTCTTTCAATTTCTATTTTGCCCTCTGGTTCTACTATATCAGGGCAGTTTTCCTTGATAATTTCTTGAAAGATGATGTCTAGGCTCTTTTTTTGATCATGGCTTTCAGATAGTCCAATAATTTTTAAATTCTCTCTCCTGGATCTATTTTCCAGGTCAGTTGTTTTTCCAATGAGATATTTCACATTGTTTTCTAATTTTTCATTCTTTTGGATTTGTTTTACAGTGTCTTGATTTCTCATAAAGTCACTGTCTTCCAATTGCTCTATTCTAATTTTTAAGGAAGCATTTTCTTCAGTAATCTTTTGGACTTCCTTTTCCATTTGGCCAATTTTTCTTTTTAGGGCATTTTTCTCCTCATTGGCTTTTTGGACCTCTTTTGCCATTTGGGTTAGGCTGTTTTTTAAGGTGTTATTTTCTTCAGTATTTTTTTGGGTCTCCTTTTAGCAAGCTGTTGACTTGTTTTTCATGATTTCTTGCATCACTCTCATTTCTCCCCAGTTTTTCCTCTACTTCCCTTACTTGCTTCTCAAAATCCCTTTTGAGCTCTTCCAAGGCCTGGGACTGATTCATATTTTTCTTGGAGGCTTTGGATGTAGGAGCTTTGATTTTGTTGTCTTCTTCTGGTTGTATATTTTGATCTTCTTTTTCACCAAAGTAAGATAATATAGTCTGACTCTTTTTGCGCTGCTTGCTCATGATCCCAGCCAATTACTTGAGTTTTAAACTCTTTGTTAAGGTAAGAGTCTGCTTCTAATGTGGAGAGTGTACTGTCCCAAGCTTCAGGGGGTTTGTATAGCTGTTTTCAGAGACACTTGTAGGGACCTGTAAATTTTCAGTTCTTCCTAGGTGGTATGATAAGGGGCGAGGTATTTACTCCTTTCCTGGCCTGTATTCCTTTCTGTCCCGTAACTGTGAGGAAGGGTTCCTCTCCACAGCCACTACAAGCTCCACCACGCCAGCGCTCCTCCTCACCCCAGCACTGCCGCCCAGAACTGTGACCCAGATCCACACATGGGCAAAGCAAGAGATTCCTGCCTCAGCACTGGCAAAGAGATCCCTGCAGTCCCTCTCTGATCAGCCACTGGATTCCCCCTCAGTCCGTGGGCAGGAAGCTCGGGAAGCAGCTGCCCCCCCCCCCAGGGCCACGCTCTTGGGGAATGGAGCTGAAACCCCGCCTTCCTCTCTGACCACAGACAGAAACAGACTTTTCCCACTGACCTTCTAAGTTGTCGTTGGTATTCGTGGATTGAGGAGTCTGGAAACCTCCACAGCTGCCCACGATTCAGTCCTCTGAGGCCTGCTCCAGGTTTGCCGTGGCCTATGCGCCCACCCTGTGCTGCGCTGCGCTCCCAGCCCTGTGCGATACACCTTTCTGGTCAGTCATCCAGGTTGTCTTGGGCTGGAAATTTGTTTCACTCTGTCTTTTTGTGGGTTCTGCTGCTTCAGAATTTGTTTAGAGCCATTTTTTATGAGTATTTGGAGGGGTTTGGGGGAGAGCTCAAGCAAGTCACTGCTTTCACTCTGCCATCTTGGCTCCGCCCCCCAGAAGCAAACATTTTTGAAGAGGTTCAGGGTCAAAGGAAAGAATGAAAAAAATGGGGATAGGATGGAGCCAAAGTTAGTCCTTCACAATATGACTTATGAAAGTGTTTTGCATAACTACACATGTATAACCTATATCAAATTGCTTGCCTTCTCAATGAGGGTGGGTGGGGAGGGAGGAAGGGAGAGAATTTGGAACCCAAACTTTTAAAGACTAATGTTAAAAATTGCTTTTATGTGCAACTGGGGAATAAGATCTACAGGCAATGGACTATGGAAATCTTCCTGCCCTACAGGAAATATAAGGGGAAGGGGATAAGAGAACGAACGGGAGGTGATAGAAGGGAAGGCAGATTGGGGGAAGGGGTATTCAGAATGCACACCATCTTAGAATGGGAGGAGGGGAGAAGTGGGGAGAAAATTTGGAACTTAAAATCTTGTGGAAGTGTATGTGGAAAGCTACAAATACATAAATTTTTTTAAAAAAGAGTACAATTGGCTAAGTGGAAAAGAGAGTACAAAAGCTAATTGAGGAAAACAACACCTTAAAAGTTGGAATTGAGCAAGTAGAAGCTAATGACTCCATGACGTGAATCAAACAAATCAAAAGAATGAAAAAAAAATGGAAGAAAATGTAAAATACCTCGTGTGAAAAACAACTGACCTGGAAAATAGATACAGGAGAGACAATATCAGAATCACTGAACTATTTGAAAGCCATAATCAAAAGAGAACCTGGACAGCATCTTTCAAGAAATTATCAAAGAAAACTGCTCCGATATCCTGGAACCAGAGGGCAAAATAGGCATTGAAAGAATCCACCTATCACCTCAGGAAAGAGATTCCAAAATAAAAACCCAAAGTTTCATTATAGCCAAATTTCAGAGTGATTAGGTCAAGGAAAAAAATACTGCAAGTGTCCAGAAAGACACAGTTCAGATACTGGGGAATCACAATCAGGATCACACAGGACTTGGCAGTTGCAACATTAAAAGATCAGAGGTACATGATATTCCAGAGGGCAAAGGAGTTAGGACTACAATCAAGAATCACTTAACCTGGAAAAATTAAGCATAACACATCAAGGGAAAAAATGGTCATTCAACAAAATATGAGTGGATTTGAATAGCTCCTCTGCATCTAACAAGATCAGGAAAGCTGCCTTCCAAGAGACATCACTGTTGGAATGAAGAATTTCCACTCTTCATAAGAGAAGAGCAGAATTAAACCAAAAATTTGACCTCCAATATCAAGACACAAGAGAAGCGTAAATAGGCAAAAAGGGAAAAGAAAACCGAAGGGATTCAATAGAGTGAACTGTTCACATTCTTATATGAGAAAATGATACTTGTAACTCTTAAAAATTGTACCATTAACAGTACAGAAAGAAGAAATAAACATATATGGGGGTATGGGTATAACGTTTATTTGAAGGAATGACATAAAATATAAAGGATGAGAAAGAAGAGTGTAAAAGGTGCAGAAGGAAGGGAGATTAGAATGGGGTAAATTATCTGACACGAAAAAGTGAGAAAGACCTATTATAGTGGAGGGCAAGTTGGAGAGGGGGTTGGCTTATATCAGTGTTGACTTAAAGAGAGAATAATGTACACAATCAGGTGAATATAGAAATCTATCTTACCTGACTGGGAAATAGGAGAGGAGGAGATCAAATAAAAGGGGGAAGTGGGGACTGACAGGAGGGAGGGTAGAAAAGGGGAGGTGGTGGACAGAAGCAAAAATTGGTGATATGGAAAAGGGTAAAAGGAGAGGACAAATAGGAGGAATAGGATGGAGGGAAATACATAGGTAGTAATCATAATGGTGACTGTGAATGGGATGAAGTCTCTCATAAAATGGAGGCAGATAGCAGAGTGGATCAAAAACCAGTATCCTACAGTATGTTGCTTACAAGAAACATGTTTGAAGCAGAGAAACACACAGAGTAAAGGAAAACCTGGAAAGACCTGTATGAGCTGATGCAAAGTGAAGTGAGCAGAACTAGGACAACACTGTACACAGTATCAGCAACATCATGTGATGATTAACTATGAATGACTCTGCTTTTCTCAGCAACACAATGACCCAAGACAAGTACGAAGTACTCAACGAGGGAGAATACTGTCCACATCCAGGTAACTGATGGATTCTGAATGCAGATGGAAGCATTTTTTTTCACTTTATTCTGTCTCATTTTTTTTAAACTTTTGATCTGTTTCTTCTTTCATAATCACGATGAATATGGAAATGTTTTTTGTGATAGCATATGAATAAACTATATCAAACTGCATACTGTTTTCAGAAAAGGGGAGGGAGAAAAATTTGGAACTCAAAATCTTGTGAAAACGAATGCTAAAAATTTTCTTGATTGGTAGTTGTGTGAAAAAATAAAATTGTATTAAAATAAAAAAAGGCTATAAAAATAAAGACTAAAGTAAAAAAAATAGTGATTTAGAGCACTATTTTCATATGACTAGATAGCTTTGATTTCTTCTTCTGAAAACTGCCTGTTCATATCCCTTGACCATTTATCAACTGGGAAATGGCTCTTATTTTTATAAATTTGACTCAATTCTCTACATATTTGAGAAACGAGTAGGAATTCTTATTGTTGAGTTAACATGAAAGGATTTTCCCTTATTCATTAGTTTTCTGTGGATTCTATCCAATATGAATTTTCTGATGTTTGACAAGGATTCAGTGTTATCCAAACATTATATCACCTTCATTACATTTATAAGGCTAGTCTCCAATGGGAATCTTCTGGTGTATATAAAAAGGTCTGAAAAAAAAGTCAGGGGGCAGCTAGGTGGTGCAGTGGATAGAGCACCAGCCCTGAAGTCAGGAAGACCTGAGTTCAAATCCAGCCTCAGACCAAACACTTGACACTTACTAGCTGTGTGACCCTGGCCAAGTCATTTAACCCCAATTACATTAAAAAAAAAGTCAGGAAGCCTTTTCCAACTATATGTATATATGTATTTATGTGTGTGTGTGTGTGTGTGTGTGTATATTTGTATATATGAGTATATATACATACATATATATATGTATGAGTATACATACATATATGCTTTATAATATGAATGTTCTAAAGTGTAATAAGGCTGAAAATCTGAGGTGATTTCTCACATTCTTGACATGTTAAAAGGCTTCTCTCTGGTGTGAATTGTATATCAGTAAATAAGGTTTGAATCTTCACTGAAGAATTTCCCACAATCGCTGTATTTATAAGATTTTTTTCCCATTATGAATCCTCTGATGTTTAATAAAGTTTGACCTGTTAGAGAAGGTTTTCCCACATTTGTTACATTTATAAGGCTTCTCTCCATTGTGAATCCTATGGTGCAGAGTAAGCCTCGATCTTTCAATGAAGGATTTCTCACATTCATTGCACTTAAAAGGCTTCTCTCCAGTGTGAATTCTTTGATGTACAATAAGCTGTGAAGAAATTTGGAAAGCTTTCCCACATTCTTCACATTTATAAGGCTTTTCTTCTGTGTGAATCCTCTGATGGACAGTAAGGTGTGAGTTTTGGTGAAATGTTTTCCCACATTCATTACAGTGGTAAGGCTTCTCCCCAGTGTGAATCCAATGGTGCTGAATAAGTGTGGAGCTTTCTCTGAAAGATTTCCCACACTCGTTACAATGATAAGGCTTCTCTCCAGAATGAATCCTCTTATGAACATTAAGATTTGAACAGGTATTGAAGCCTTTCCCACAGTCCTGACATTCATAAGGCTTTTCTCTGGTATGGATCCTCTGATGTACAGTAAGGTTTGCTATTTGACTGAAGGCTTTTCCACAGTCATTACATTTATGAGGCTTTTCTCCATTGTGAGTCATCTGGTGCTTTGTCAATGTTGAGCGATGACTGAAGCCTTTCCCACATTCATCACATTCATAAGTCTTATCTCTTACATGAGCCTTTTGGTATTTAGCTATTTGTCTCAAATCTCTCTCCTGATCTCCTTGCTGCCTCTTTTCCTGATCTCCACATTCCCCATCAATGGAGTAGCAAAGACTTTTGTCTTCCAAGTCTTTCAACTATCATCCCCTTGGGTGATTTATCTTCTGGAATAATGTCCATTGGTATTACTTCTGTGGTCTCAGTCCTAGCCTCCAAGTCTGAAAGAGATTAAAAATAAAGTATAAATGTCCCCAGTTCCAAGATCTTTTACAATCTAGATCCAAGGCCTCTTTGTCCTTCTCCCCATTCACAGGGCTATCATTAAATTCGAGGCCCTGGTCACCTCTCCCCTGAAGCATTGGCATACCCTCCTAATTGGCCTCCTTCCTCCAGGCTGTCTCCTTTTCCCACCCATCTTGTAGGTAGTTGCCAAAGTCACCTTCCAAAAGCTTAAGTTTCATTGCAACCCTGTGGCCACCATCTCTTCAGTGGCTCCCTATTTCCCCTGAAATGATAAACTCAACAAGGAGGGCATCTAGGTGGCACTATCTATATAGTGGATAGAGGGCTGAGCATGGAGTCAAGAAGATCTGTGTTCAAATGTGGCTTTAGACACTTACTAGCTATGTTATCCTGGGCAAGGCATTTAACTTCTGTCTGCCTCAGTTTCCTCATCTGTAAAATGGGGATTATAGTAGCACCTTCCCAGGGTTGTTGTCAGGATCAAATGAGATAACATTTGTAAATGCTTAGCCCAGTGCCTGGCACAGAGTAGGTACATAAATGCTTGCTCATGTTCTACTGTTCTTCCAAAGCAGGAATGTCCCTAACACCCTCAACTTAGGAATCTCTTTGAAGAGACCTCTGTGCCTGAGATGGAGTCCCAATAACATCAGAGGGGACCAGATCAGCCCCAGGAGGGAGAAGAGGCTGCCATGGAAAAGACCAGCGGTGGATAGAGCCCTTAGCAGATAGAGAGCCAGGTGAAGTCTCAGGCCAGTACCAGGTAAGGACAGACAGAGGTTATGTATCAATGCATGGTGTGGCAATACAGTTTTTGGTAGGAGGTATTGCTTAGAGAGCTTGTTTCCAAATTCTTCAAGTCTGTGTGGAAAACAAGGACTGAGGGCCTATTGTATGAGTCCTCAGAGTGGCAGAGATCAGGTGGGAGACACCCACTCCTTTAGGGAAGCCAATCAATTGATAAATCAGTCAACAATGTATTGAACTTACTAGGTGCTAGGCTCTGATAAACACAAAGGAGAACAAAACTAGTTCAAACTCTTAGTACCTTATTAAATTAGCTAGACTAGTACAATAGCTTTCCAGTTATCTCCCTGCCTCAAATCTCTCCTCATTCCAATCCATCCTCCACACTGATGCCCAAGTAATTTTCTTGAAACATGGTTCTGACCAGTGATCTAGGATAAAATATGATCTCCTTCCTTTACCTTTTAGACCCATTCCTACCTTTCCGCTTCACTGGACATTGCTCCCCTCCTACACTCTTTGATGTAGTCCAACTGGCCTTTTCTCTCTTTCTCACACAAGGTCCATCTCCCATCTCCAGGCCTTTGCACTGGACCTGCACTATGCCTGGAATGCACTCCCTCCTTGGTTCTGCCTCATGGAGTCCCTCTCTTTCTTTGGGAAACAGGTTAAACACTATCTTCTGTATCTTTCCTCATTCCCCCCGTTGCCTGTGCCTTCCCTCCCTAGCGATCCTGTGGTTATTAACTTGATATTGATGCTATGTATATTTTTATGTGCATTCATCTTCCCCAGTTGAAGCCTGTAGGGCTTGTTTCATGCTCTTTACTTGTATCTTCATGACTAGAACACAGTCTGCACTTAATAAAAGGGTGTGGAATGATTAATTAAAACAGTTCCTGCCTTCTGGGAGTTCCCATTCTAAGGAAGAGATCACATTTACATTTAAATAACTTAAGTACAAGGAGAATTAAAACAGTTCCTGCCTTCTGGGAGTTCCCATTCTAAGGAAGAGATCACATTTACATTTAAATAACTTAAGTACAAGGAGGAGAAGAAAAGTTTATCTTAGAAGGAAGAACTCAAGCAACTAGAGCAATCTGGAATAGGTTCAATGCAGGGAAATTCAAAATTAATAAGAAAATCCTCCCTCAAGGAGGGGACTCACCGTCACTGCCTGTGCTGGTGGGGTTCTCCATTAAAATTTTTCTGCCCACTGAACCTCAACTTTTCTGCTGGGCAACTGGGCTGCTGGGCTGAAGCTTGGTTCTCCTCCACTGGGCTACTATCTTCTAGCCTCGGTTGCCTCTGAATTTATACCTCAGCTGTTCACAGTCCAGGCTCCTCCCCCAGGCAGGCAGAATATCACCACAAGGAGGTGTGAACTCCTTGTCTCCACTGTTTCTTAGATGCTCAAGAACAAAGCCCAGGGAGGGAGGATACTTACTCTTAGGGGTTTTCAGTTTCTTTGTCTAATTCTGGGTAGGGTTGGGAAGGGTAAGGAGAGACCTCTCCCCCAGGGAAGGCCTTTATCAGAGATACTTATAGCAAAAATTCTCCCCCCCCTTTTCTATTTTCCTTCTAATTTTCATTGCATTGGTTTCATTTGTGCAGATAGACCTTCAGTTTGGTACCTCTTCTCTCTCACACTTTCCTTTTTTAAATCAAATTAACCAGTGGTTTATCTATTTTATTGTCCCCCCCCCCATAAGCCAGCTTCAAGTTTTGTTAGCTCAATGGTTTTCTTACTTTCAATTTTATTAATCTCTCCTTTGATTTTCAGGACTTCCAATTTGATGTTTAATTGGGAATTATTAATTTGTTCATTTTCTAGTTGTTTTTAGTTGTATGCCCAATGTATTGATCTGCTGTTTCTCTATTTTACCGATATAAGCCATTAAAGATATAAATTTTCCCCAAGTACCACTTTGGCTGCATTCCATAAATTTTTCTATCTTGTCTCATTGTTGTCATTTTCTTTGATGAAATAATCAATTGTTTCCATGATTTGTTCTTTGGCCCATTTATTTTTTAGGATTAGATCATTTAGTTTCCAATTGATTTTTAATCTATCTTTCCATTTTCCATTATTGAATATAATTTTCATTGCATTATGATCTGAAAAGGATGCATTTACTATTTCTGCTTTTTTGCATTTGGTTGTAAGGTTTTTATGCCCTAATACATGGTCTTTGTGTGTGTGTGTGTGTGTAGGTAACATGTACTGCTAAGAAAAAGGTATATTCCTTTCTACTCCTATTCAATTTTTTTCCACAGAGATATCATATCTAACTTTTCCAGAATTCTATTCATCTCCTTAACTTCTTTCTTGTTTATTTTTTGGTTAGGTTTATCTAGTTCTGAGAGGGGAAAGTTGAGGTCCCCCACTAATATAGTTTTCTCTATTTCCTCCTGTAACTCATTCAACTTCCCAAAGATTTAGATGCTATACCATTTGGTACATATATATTTAGTACAGCTGTGGCTTCATTATCTATAGTCCTTTTCAGCAAGATATAGTTTCCTTCCTTATCTCTTCTAATTAGATCAATTTTTGCTTTTGCTTTGTCTGTGATCATGATTGCCACCTCAGCTTTTGTGCTTTAGCTGAAGCATAATAGATTCTGCTCCAGCCCCTTACATTTACTCAGTGTGTATCACTGTGCTTCAGGTGTGTTTCTTGTAAACAATGTATTGTAGAATTCTATTTTTTAATCCATTCTGCCCTCTACTTCTGTATTATGGATGAGTTCATCTCATTCACATTTATGGTTATGATAACTAACTGTGTATTAACCACCATGCTATTTTCCCTTCTCTCTGTCTCTCTATGTCTCTGTCTCTCTCACCTTCACCCCTCCTTGTTCTCCCAGTGCAATCTTCTTTCTCATTTTTTTTTGGGGGGGATGGTATCATCCTGTCAAAGTCTAATAATTCTTAAATTATCTCTCCTGGATCTATTTTCCAGATCAGTTGTTTTTCCAATGAGAAACTCCACATTGTCTTCTGACTTCTTTTATTCTTTTGATTTTGTTTATCATATCTTATTTTATTATTTTTTAAGGCAATTGGGGTTAAGTGACTTGCCCAGGGTCACACAGCTATTAAGTGTCAAGTGTTTGGTCTGAGGCCAGATTTGAACTCAGGTCCTCCTGACGTTTTATCTTATCTTGATGTCTCATAGGATTATTAGCTTCCAGTTGCCCAATTCTAATTTTTAAGAAATTATTTCCTTCAGTGAGCTTTTGTACCTCCTTTTTCATTTAGCCAATTCTATTTTTTAAGGAGATATTTCTTTGGTGAATTTTTGTACCTATTTTTCCATGCTGTTGAGTCTTTTTTTTTTCATGATTCTCTTGCATTACTTTCATTTCTTTTCCCAATTTTTCTTCTACTTCTCTAATTTGCTTTTAAAAATCCTTTTAGATATCTTCCAGGAGTGTTTTTGGGGCCTGAAACCAAATTGCATTTCTTCTCTGAGGCTTCACATGTAGCCATTTTGACACTGTTGTCTTCTTCTAATGGTGCACCTTGATTATCCCTGATTCTCCCTGTCACTACAGTAACTTTCTGTAGTCAAGTTCTTTTTTTTGTTTTGTTTTGTTTTTTGCTCATCTTTTTTGCCTATTTTGTGACTTGGTATTTTTATGTGAGAGTTGGACTCTGGTCCTACGTTGTCCCAAGCTTCTTGTACTGGGGCAGGGTCTTACTGCTGGCTTTCCCTGGGCTTCAGAGCCTAGCTGCTGGCTTGCACCAGAGTGGAGAGGGGTTCCCTGCTGACTTGTACTGGGGTTGAGGGCCTCACTGTTGGCGTCCCCTGTGTGGGAGTATGGGGTTTTGCTGCTAGATTACCCTAAGGGTGGGGCCTTGAGGCTGGGTTACTATGAAATAGGGCCTCTCTGTTGGCTGACCCTGGGGAGAGCTCTTGCTGCTAACCTGCACTACGGGTGGGCCTTCACTATTGGTCAGCAATGGGGACAAGGCCTTGTTGGTGGCCTGTGCTGGGCATGGGGCTATTGGGGTGGAGTTGCTATGCCTGCACAGACC